TACAAGAATGGAATGATTTCGATGAATCGCATGAGTGACCTCAACTCGAGTTTTATACTAGAAGTAATAGCAAGACGTCTACCTACTCGACTGCAAAGGAAGTGGGTGAAGATGAGCTCCCGTATGGAGGATGAGGGTATCGAGCCAAAGTTTGATGATATCCTGAAACTGGTAAATACTAGTGTCAATCAATCTATGAGCAAGTTCGCCAGTCTATTAGATCTCACCCCTAGAATAGAGCAGTCTGAGGGAAAAACGCACTCATTGATGACGAGTAGGCCTCAGAGAGGTGGATATCGAGAAGGCTCCATGATGTCTAGTAATGCATATAGACCTAGTGAGTGTAACAGGTTTCGTAGTACATCCTCAACAGATAAGTTACAAGATGCAAGACAAACACGGTTGTGTTTCACACGTTTGCAAGAGGTGCATACAGAAGTGAACTGTGAACCAGTGAGCAAGTTCAGTGATAAGCTAAATGTAAACTCCAGGTCTGACTCCGAATTGTGTGACGATAACGGTGTTGTGAAGAAGTCTGTAGTTGCAACTGGTAAGCCGTTGTTGAATAGAGTGTCACAGAATAGAGTTACTGCTTCAGAGTGGAGTTCTGACTCCACAAGTTTACAAAGTATAACTAGTCAGAGTGAAGATATAAAACCTTTAATGATTTGTGAGGAGGAACCAAAATTGTCTACTTCTGTTATTAAAGAGTTTGAAAATGATGAAGTTGACGGTAAAGTGAATATTCGTGATAATGATCATGATACTTCACAGTTGTCTTTGGTTGATCATTATGAGATGAGGGATATGCCTACTACTGCTAAGTTAAATAAAGGTTCTGTACAACTACAACGTGAAGTAGAATTGAACGCAGATGCAGTTCCAGAAGATGTGCATACTTGTGAGACAGTCAGTGTAATTGATCAGCGTGTAGCCCACCTATCATCAGATGATAGTGCTAAACCTGAACTAGTAGTGAAAGACAGCAGTGGTGGTAATCTTGCAGGTAGACAAATTTCTGAAAGCCGATCAACAACAGCTTTTGATCCACCGCTAACTTCATCAACTGATGTCAATCAGTCGTCGTTGGTGCTGTCATCCACAATGAAACAGACACCCATCAACTCAAGTATCTTGTGCAATGACTATGATAGTATCAGTTCGTTTGAAAGGACGAATATCAATGGTCAGTTTAGTGTGGATAAGCCAAGTGTAAAGGAGAGAGTTATTGTTAAATTGACTTGCACGAATAAAGGCATTTCTAGTTTCAAGTTACTATTTGAATGTTATTATCTTTGGTGTAAATTACTCTGTTTCTATACTTGGTTGATGAGATATGTCGTGTGTTTGTTGGTCATCTATATTCTACGATACAATGACATGGGCGTGTTGCCGTTCAGATTTGAGGATATAGCTGATAGAAGGAAGTTAGCAAATGAACTCTGCGACGATTTTCCAACCTAGGGCGTCAACCTGAGAAGGGTTGTAGGCGTACTGCTGTAAGTCCTACAGTTCTTCAAAGGGTAGCGCATCAATGAGCAGTCCAATGTGCTTGGTGTGTGATTTTGTACATATGTTCATATTGTATATACTGAATTGATATCATCTGTCATCTAGCTGTTGGTAATTCTGTTTGTGTCCGGACGACTTCCACTTTGATCATCAACCTGAGAAGGAATGTAGGCGTACTGCTGTAAGTCCTACAAAAAAAAAAAAAAAAAAAAAAAAAAAAAAAAAAAAAAAGGTGTTGATTGTACATATGTTTGTGTTAAATAGTTGTGTGAGTTCCAATTAATGTAATTGTTGGTTAATCATGTTTGTGTCTGGACATTCCACAAATTACAATCGTCAACCTGAGAAGGGTTGTAGGCGTACTGGTGTAAGTCCTGCAATTCTTCAAAGGAATTCCACCAAGACATGAACTGCGATTTTGTGTGTACTGTTTGTATGTATGTGTGGTGTGTCATAGCAATTGGTGATTTTGGATTTATTGGGTTTTCTCGTTGTTTTCGTACCTTGTTTTTATTGCATAATTTTGTTAAAATTTTCGTCGTGTATATTTCTGAAGTTGTTTCGAGTCTTCTACATCCGTGAATGAATTGATTGATGTTAGAGACAGGAGATGGGTCGTATACGCCGGGGAGGCTAGGCTATTGCTGAGAATGAAACGCACACGGAGATAATTGTTAGCTGCGGTCCGACACGCCGGGGAGAAAGAGTGTAAACGACTGAGTCTCGCATACATCACCGTTACTAGAACTGAGGCAGAATGAGTGACAAGCGATTTCAGTGGTAATTGGTAATGAGTAGATAAGAGGATGTGCGTAGAGTATCGTGAGGTGGTGCTGTGGTCACATTGCATTCTGCAAGAGTCATTCTAGCAAATGGCGATTGTGTTGGAAGATGTCAAGAGGAGGTCTCTGTCTGGAGGCGCAGGTCGTCATTGATGTGTGAGATTGTGCTGTGAGTATGCTTGTGGTGTGTTGGCTTTTCTGTTTGTTTTCCATTTCAGCTCTGTCCGTGTGACCCAGGTTCTCGCAATGGCATCCAAGTCAACGTGCATTGATCGTGAAGGAAAAAAGGGTTGGATCCCTTTTTGCCGGGGAGTGTCAATGGAGTTGAAGATTGAACGATCAATTCTTGGTTGTTTGCTCAAAATCAACTTCCCCAATTTTCGCGGAGGCATCAATACGACAGTCATCGTCTCATCTGTCGCTGTTCAGAAAGAAGAGTGAAACATCGTCAGAAGTAACAATGATTTATTATTGTAATATTAGTTTTCAGACCTTAGTTTGCTTAGTTCGCTTATTCCTTTTATATGTTGGTGTAACAATAAAGAAATAACAAGCGGCAGATCGGTGTTTTGGTTTTTGCGTCCGTTATTACTAAGCGTTTCTGAAAACTCAAAGGAACAGCGTGGGCCCGAGCGTAGCGAGAGCTGGGCATTAACGGTTTATGAGACGTGATTGACACTCTTCTTTCTGAACAGCGACCGATGAGACGATGACTGTCGTATTGATGCCGTCGCGAATATTGGGGAAGTTGATTTTGAGCAAACAACCAAGAATTGATCGTTCAATCTTCAACTCCATTGACAAGGACTTCACGGATTTTACACATTCCATGTGATGTCTTCTTACATATTTTCTTTATGGAATCGTTTATTTCGTCTACCTGCAACAATTTTCGCTGGAAGGCTTGAGATTTTTACCATTCTGCTGCATTTAAATTAGTGTGATTCTATTACTGGTGCAGTAACATACAAGACTTGAATATGTTGCTGTGAATTTCGCCCGCCTCTTCACTGAACTTGCAAAGGGCACAACAATTGGTATCGACTGATCCTGCCAAAATCACCAGCAACACAATCAAATAACCTTTAAAACTAAAAGTGGTAATACTGATATTGTTAAAAAGTGATCTTACCATAAACTTAGGAATTCTAGTGTAACACAGCAGCATATTCCGGGAGGGTATGCTTTGCCTTGTAAAATCTCTAGAGGTACAAGTAGAATTCGTGAACTATAAATTCGTGAAATATGGAATTGTCCCATTGAGAGACGTAGACGAAAGGCTGGCTAAATGCAGTGCCTTACGCTGACGCACCTGCAGGGATGTAGGTATGTCATACCTTGCGTGAACTCTGAGAAATATCGAGAAGGCATTTCTTTCAGTCGACCCTCCGTCTTACACTCAGTTATCGTCCGTATATATAATGACACTGCGCGTTTCCTAGTTTGCCTGTAATTACAAAATGCGTGTAATTTAGTAGTAAAAACAACTCGAAATCGAATTATTTTCTAGATGTGAACATATTTACTTACTTTCGCGACAATTTAATCTTTCCAGCAAAAAACTTCTAGGAGTGTACATCTTCACTCAGCAACTGAAAACTAAAAGTAAACTCAGTTGTCCAAAAGACAGAATAATGAGTGAACTAGTATTAGCATTCACCTATATTAACGTATTTGAATAATAATCACTTAGCCTGTCAACAAGCTGTCTGCTTTCAGTTATAACTCAAAGACAACTTCAGTTACCCACTATAGTAGCAGCTTCAGGAGACCGCTTTGCAGTCTTCGAAATACTTTGCCCGATAGTGTTTTACTTCAAAATATGAGTATACTGGCCAGTTGGTGTTGCTTATCCATGCATTCACTTTGACTGTCCTATCCTTGTTCCTACTAATCAAAACTTCCGTTAAACTATTAACATGCTATTATTACTTTTAAATACATATCTTTAACTATTCACACGTAAACAATGTTGATTACTTCATCACTTATTTAATATTTTATTTTTCGAAGTATCAATTTTCCCCTAAGCAAGCATCTGTTTCAACTTATTATTATTACTCTGAAGAAAATGGTAGCCATACATAAGAAGATGGTGATCTTTTTAAAACCTATACCCAGTCGGACCCTCTCGGTAGTTTGTACATCCATCAAATGGCCCATAGACGCAAAGCCAAAGGTATAACGTGATAAATATAATCCCCTACATTGCACTAAGATGAATCTGTTCAAATTATAATCATTCAGAAGTTGGCTTTTTTGTCGTTTATAGATTTCTAGTTCACCTTTACAAATCTGGATATACTGTGCATGCTGCTGGACTTAACGCCTTCATTTCTCTGCAGTGACGCTAGGAGTGACAATACTGCCTTATTTTCCAAATCAGTATCCTTATGTCTTCACAAATATGTAGTGAAGATAAGGTTTTAACCACAGGAACTCTACTATAATGCGTCTGTGGCTTAGCTGTTAGGACACTCGCCGACCATGCACATAGTCCGGGATTCGACCCCTGGCCACCGGAGCACTACTTCACCTCACTAACCCAGAAATTAAGCTCGTAAATGGGTAAGGTTGGGCATGAGGCTAGCAACCCCATCCTGTATAAATAATCACTGCTACTGAAAATTCAAGTCTCTAGCTTGAAGCCCTATATTTCTCTTGGAACGTGAAGGAATAAAAAAGAACTGTACTATAGTGAATTGAATTTGAGGGAAAACTGAAGATTGAAAACAGCAAGAATTCGGAACTTGCGTTACGTAAGGTATGTTGCAGACGCAACAATATTTCGACAGTTACAAGCTCAGAGACTTGTTTCTGCCTAAATTAAGTGGAGTTGCAAGCCAAAGGCTTGAAGTTTCTGTAGCAGTGGTGATCATTTTTACAGGATTGGGTTGCTAGCCTCATGTCTAACCTTTCTTCTTTATCAGTCTTATCATTGGCTTAGCGAGGTAAAGGAGTGCGTCGACGGCCGGGGATCGAAAGCCCGAACCATGTGAGGCGTGGTTGGCGAGTATTCTACCGCTGTGCCACCGACCCACATAAACACCTGAGTGAAGATGCATTTTTCTGTAGAAAGCCAAGCTTACAATTATGGAAAAATAGTAGTGGTTCTCACAACGAGTCATAAATTCTTAGAACCGACTCTTAGAAGAAGTGGCAACTGCAACCTCAAGTGATTTATTCAGTGTGGGTTTGGACAATCACAGAAATTTACTAAAAAAGGATTAACATAGGCTCCAAGCCTTCTGCCCCCAATCAATAAATCTGAATCTAGCGCTTAGGAATTAGAAAATATTGTTTCATTTGTACACAACACACTGTGGTGTTTTTGTAGAGATACCACTGAAGTAGTAAGACATTCAGCATTTTCCGCACCGTCGTATCCCTACGCTACCCAGCTTGCATTTTGTTAGGGCTCAGTGGAGAAATTTCGGGGCAAAAACTTTGGGAACATTGCAGAAAGTGGGCAAGTTATCTTCAGTCTGCCCCCATAGTATCTACAATTGACCGTAAGATTTCATTACTCGCCTGCAATTATGCAGTTAACCCTAAGTCTCTAGACACATGTACGACATACCTGCCTGAGATTGGGAATTGTTAGAATGAACTGTTAGGGAAATAAAGAGAATTCCTGTATATAACTTGTGAAATTGAAGTTAATTATGTTATGTAACATTCACTGACTCGACTCTGTTGAACGCAAGCTGCAAGACTGAAGAAGCAAGATTTTCTCATGGCATGCATTTTGCCTTCTACTTCCCTAGTTGGAAGTAAGTAACAGTGACACAAAAAAAACATGACCAACTTACTGTTCGTAGATTCATGCAACCAATGTGCCAAACTGTCAGTCGTAAAATGGAAACTTCTCGGCAACATTTTTCCGGTTAAAAAACTTCATTGTTGTGTTAAAAGTATAGAAATACGATTGACAGACTAATTAGTCCACACACACACGGATTTCAAAATTCACCGTGTGTTGAATTAGTGTCTATTCATCTTCAGTATGTTGAAGTCAGACAGACATTTCAGCATTATGTTGAGCAAGTGGATCTTGAAAAAGGTACAGGTATTGAAAATAAATCTAAACAATTAGAGGGTATCGTCAAAGTATAAAGTTCGTCACAGATACATAAAAGTGTTACAACTACGTGTGCGTTACGTTCTATTCTCTGAATATGTCATCTTGGCGCCTCTAATCAACTTAAGCGGAACGGGGATTTGCTTGCAACCAGAGAAGTCTCGTCAGTTTAGACTATTTAAATGATGTTATTCTTCTAGGTGAAGATGCTGAAAAAATATAGGGTCTTCTGGACATCTTGGTATTATTGGCATGTGATTCACCCTTTTTCAAATTTAAGATGATAATGCAGGATTGGTCTAAGCCAACTCCTATTTTAAAGATAGGGAGTGAAGTGGTTGAACGTATTAATAACTTTAATTTTCCTGGACTGAATTATTGACGAGATCTCAGCACGGATACAATAGGCTCATGTGGCATTTGCCAAAGTATACCATCTCTGGAGTTAGCGCGATATCCGGCTATCGATCAGATAACGTGTATAGTGTGCACTAGTTTGCTGTGTTTGCCTTTATATACAGTGGAATAAGTCATTTGATCTTTTTGTTATTAAAACTCACTGGGAATCGACTTTTTTATATTCCAGGATGTATGCCATACTTATTGTGTAAGGGTTAATAGTTGTGAATTAGGTGGAATGGGTACAATTCAAACTCAGGACACGTTTCCTCTGAAGATCAAAGCGCAAGGAACTCTGGTAGCGGACGTACCAATAGTCTATTACCCGACTAATGTGTGGTAGAGAATAGAATTTGGATTGGACGTGCTCTGAAATGACATTCAAATGACGTCACACACTTGTTTATCTGTCTGTTTTCAGGGTAGAACTTTGCACCGATGTGCAGCAGTTCAAGTCGCCCCAATCCCTCCATGTAGCACACAAAGCGAGAGAAGAAAGTACACAGGGAAATGCAGAGTATAGACAGTAGACAGGAATATGACACCAAAGGAATAGTAATATCGTAGAGCAATATAGTTTCATTGGAAATTATAAGTTCACAAGGAGTGAATGCATCTGCGCCAGCCATTGAGAGCGATTTTCAGCCAAATCACCGATTGTCTCTAGCCATTGGTGTTTACCGTCCCTAGGATCCCAACCAGGAAGTCTACATCTCCCTACGCAATTGGCTGGCTTAAACTAACTGTTGTGGATTTCACTGACTTATGAAGCCATGTTGGTTTTGGTTGGACCACCACTAGCTCTTTTCCAACCTCATCGATTTTATGTCAGCTAACTTTGCCCGTCGAGGAAGGCGATGGCTAGACATGCCTAACACATGTCCTAACCATCTCAGTCGATGTAGCTTCACAGCCTCATCTATTGATTTCCCCTTCTTACGTAGCACTCAACCGATGCCTAATCTCAATATTGCTCACCTTATTATACCACTTCACACGGGAGATAGAACGCAGGCACCTACGATCAAAAACAGCTAACCAGCCAGGTTTTTCATGTCTTCCACTCTTAATCGCCATGTTTTGCTCACAGGCATAAAAGAGGATGAAGCAGACTGCAACACATATCAGTCAAACATGAGAATAAGAAGCTTTGAGGTGAGCTTGAATCCCAAGGGTGGCATTGAACAAATCATGTGACCATGCATTAAAAGCTTGTCAAAAGTCTTTGAGCCATCTCTATGAGGGATAGTAGAGAATCTAGTAGGATAGAGATGTGCCTTTGAAGTACTGTACTTCACCCGGAACCCACATCTTGTGGTTTTTTTTCTATTCCGATGCACATTCACAATTCTCCTCATATTTAAAGCGCTTTTTGGTCTTTAATGTTATTTAACATACGATTTTGTCGTTGTTTTTCTTTCTGCTGCTTTTAGACAACAGTCAGTGTGTGAACCAAACGGACGTATCGTAGTATTATATCAACACCTTGACAGTCATGGTATTTGTTTGTAAGTTATATACACTAATGAGGAAAACAAAATCTCTTTTTCAAAGGTTGGTCAAGTGATGGATTAAGGTTGTATGAATTAGATGAAAGTAAAAAGATTAAACAACTTGAACAGTATGTTTCTATTTTTTTGTTTATTTTCTACATTTTAGTCAACCATCTAATTCAATCAAGTGTTTATCAATTGCAAAATCAAGTCAATGTCTTGGTTATTTAGATGAAACAAAGTATAAGTTTATGCTTCATTTTATCGATTTTTATCATTACTATTAACAGAGTAACCTTGATTAATGCTGACAACCAGTCTGTATACTCTACTATCCCAAGTGAATCAGCTTCACGCATTCTTATTTCACCATGTGGAAAATATGGTTTTATTTATAAATCATTTCGAGGTAAGACAAGTTTTTTTTTAAACTCAACTAACTACTAATTATAGTTGATAATGAAAATCCGAATGGTTTACCAAATCTCTTCGTGTATGATTTTATCAAAGGAATAAAGCTTAAAGAGTATATTTATAAAAAAGGTGATGGATGGTAAGTTAAACTTGCTTTTATCATCATTTACAAATGCACGTGAATTGTTTGTTGTATTTGAATGAATTATTTGAATCAGCTGACGAGGCTGTGAAGTTACCCTAATTGAGACATGTGTTATGTATGCCTAGTCATCGCCTTCCTCGACCAACGGGCAATGCTAGCTGATATAGGGTCAGGCTGGAGAAGAGCTAGCGGCAGTCAAACCAAAACCAACATGGCTTGACCAGCTAATCAAATCTACAACAGTTAGTCTAAGCCACGTAGAAAGGTGTAGACTTCCTGACTGGTTGAGCTCCTCGGGACGGTAAACACCATTGGCTAGAGACAGTCAGTGATATGGCTAGCTCAAAATCGTTCTCAATAGCTGGTGGAGATGCATCCATTCCTTGTGACTTATGATTTACAATGAAACTGTTCTGATCTTCGTTACTACTATTCCTTTACCTCACACCTCTGTTTACTGTCTCTATTTTGCATTTCTATTTTCTTCTGTTGTTTTGTATGCTACATGGAGGGAGTGTGGCGACTTGAACTGCTGCACATCGGTGCAAAGTTCTGTGTCGAAAACAGACAGACAGAATTATTAGAATTTCTTTTATATAAAAGGGGCGAAATGTGACTTCAGCACATAGCTTTCATCCACAAGGTCAAGAGTTCGAACCCGTCTCCACCTATTTCGGTTTGGATAACCGGGCAATACTCTTATAAAATTAACAGATACCTATGTTCACATGCAACTATACGCGTATAGTATTAATAGTATTTTAAGTGTCTTTGTGTCTGTTTAAATGTGTACACCACCGAGTCAACTTGATAAGTGATTCTTTGCTGAACGCTTTCAAAACTTGGTGTATTCGAGCTAAGGGATATATATATATATATATATATATATATATGGAGACTTTATGTGTTCTGTCGTCGCTGTCTCTGTAGAACTGCCTGTATCCAACGAAGTTAAAGTGTAAGTAATTCTGAATAAAGCGAGAACAACATTGATTTGTGCAGAATAACATGGTACCATCATTTATTTCGTTGGCTTCTCGTCAGCTGCTTACAGCCTAAATAAATTTTCAGGTTTAAGTACAGAAACGTTTTAACGTACTTGCAAATTTTACATGTTGACAGAAAGTTTCACAACTAGTAAACAGTGCTCAGAAAATTGCGCTTATATAGTTTTTACACAGGCAGTTCAAGTTAAAAAATAATAAATAAATGTATGTATATAATGGTAAGGGATGTGCGTTGGATGCATAGTGACTAATAAGTTAGGTAACAATGTACTGAGTTGAACTCAAATCATAGAAACAAGAGACAAACAAAATTACAGATTATAAAAGGAGGGTGAGGTTAAAGACAAAATTACACAATCAGATGAGAGATGCAAAGTGACTAATAAGTTAGGTAACAATGTACTGAGTTGAACTCAAATCATAGAAACAAGAGACAAGCAAAATTATAAAAGAGGGTGAGGTTAAATAAAGACAAAGATTACGCAATCAGATGGGAGAAAAAAGACATCCAGTTACCAAGGCAAGGAAAGACTAATAACTGATTCTTTCTGAACACATAGATCTGGTTTCAAGCGTTTGATAGAAATTGCTTCGGCAAACTTGAGGAGAATGGAGCTCCTTTGTCTATTAATAATTTTGAAGGATTTCTCGATTTCCACCTCATGACCCGTGTCGAGGAGATGTCTGGTAATAGCGCTGCTATAAGAATTTGTTCCCTTGAGACGTAGGCTTTTCGGCACATGTTCAGAAAATCGGAGGTGTGCCCTTCTTTCTGTTCTCCCAATGTAACTGCTCCCGCAGATACACGTAAATTTGTATACACAGTTGGAGTTAACATGAGAAGGGTATCTATCGACTTTTGACTGCACCAAAGAGCATGTTGTTCGGTGGACGGGAACCAACTTAGCTGCAGGATAGGCTCTGGCTAGTGACGTCCTCAGTCTTCTGTTGACCATTTCTGCAATGTCTTCACCTTTAAAGTCTAGTTGAATGAAGACAGGCTTTTTTTCGACTGTGATTTGTTTGGTATTTGGGCCTTCACATCTTCCATATTTGTTAATGAATTTTTGAGTATAGCCGTTGTTTTTCAGCACCTTTTCGAGATTCGTGAATTCTTCCTCTAGTTTCTCTGCAGAGCATATTCTCCTCGCTCTATAGTACAGAGTCTTGACTAGTGCTCGTTTATAGCTATTTGGACAAAAACTATTAAAATGTAAGTATTGTCCATTCCATGTGGGCTTTCGGTAGATTGACCTCTGGAGGCTACCATCTTCTAGGCGTTTTATGGCGACGTCAAGGAAATGGAACTGTCCATCATTTTCATGTTCCATAGTAAATACAATATTTGTATGTGCGTTGTTGAATAGTCTGAGTAGGTAGGAGGCATGACTTTCATTGTTGCATACTACAAATGTGTCATCGACATATCGACAATAGGAAGTTGTTTGATCAATTGCATGCTTCAGCTTTGTTTTCTCAAGGTTTGACATAAAGATATCTGCTAAAACAGGGCTAAGTGGACTGCCCATAGCTACACCATCTATTTGTCGGTAAAGAGTGTTGTCAAACTGGAATTGTACACCCATGGTACACATCAGCAGTAGGCGTTTGAATTCCGGCTCTGGTAGTGGGAGAAGATCAGACTGTTGACAAATTATCTCAATGGTTTCATTGATTGGGATCATTGTGAACAAGGAGGTTGCATCAAATGAAGCCATGAACTTATTTGAAACGTTCATGTGATTCACGCTTTCAGCAAAATGAAATGAGTCCTTTATGGTGTGCGCGGCCAGCCTTTGGCGAATGGGTTCCAACTTCTCCGCGAGCCAACGGGCAACCTTATGTTGGGGAGAGTTGATCATCGAAAGTATAGGTCTCAGAGGGACTTCTTTCTTGTGTGTCTTTGGAAGGCCATACATATATGGCAAGCGGGACCCTCGGGGTTTCAATTCATTGTACGTGTTGTTGTCAATCAATTTCTTCTTTAGAAGATCTCTCAATACGTTTGTGATGCGTTTTTCGGTTGCATCTGTCTTGTCTTTCTGGCAGTCGTCGACTTTGAACCTCAACGGATCACTGAGCACAGTTTTCATCCTTGCGACGTAGTCATCTTTATCCTGACTGAAAGCAAGTGTTTGAGTAGGTCAGAGATGGTCTTCCAACTGATGATGTCACCCAACTTCGTTGCAATGGGCATATGGCGGCAATGTCATACTAACTGTTTTCATACCTTACAAGGATAGTAAGCTGGTAGACCATTAAGCCACTCGGCCAACTCATGAATTCCAACATCATCCATTATTGATTTTGTTTGTTGTTTCTTTTCATCGTGTCGTGTCTTAGGCAACCACAGTGGAATTCAAATTCATCTTTATGTTCGATTTTTGTCAATGGTGAAATTCATATCTATGCAAATAATCAATTTTGTAAGTTATTTTTGTTTTATTTTCAAAGATACTATTTTATGTTGGCGTTTTTCTTTACTTGGGCAACTTGTACACAATGAGTCTTGGTAAGGTTATATCAGCCAGCTTTAGGGGATTGATCGCTGATGACATCTCAGCACGGATGATTCAGATGGCTGGTTGGGCATTTGGCAACTTACTTCATCTCTGAATTATCAGACATGATATCCGGCTGACTGTAGACTAAAAGACGTGTGTGCGCCTCAGCACTTTGCTCCGTCCTCCTGTATGGCTGTGAGACAAGGCTATAAACAGTGTGGAAGATATGAAAGACCTGGCTGACTGGTTGTCTTAGAACGCAGACACCTATGATCAATCTCCCGTGTTAGGTGATAGGCACGATAGATTGGCTAATATTGAGGTGATTAGGTCTCGGTCGAGTGCCGGATGGCGAGGAAAAATCAATCGACGAGGTTGTAAAGTTACACCGATTGAGATGGTTTGGATATGTGTTACGCATGCATGCCTAAACATCACCTTCCTCGATCGATGGGGAATGTTAGATGACATAGGGTCAGGTTGGAAAAGAGCCAGTGGTGGTCAGACTAAAACCAACATGGCTTCATCAGTCAATGAAATCCATAACAGTTAATTTAAACCAGGCAGCCACAGAGGGAGGTGTAGACTACCAGTCTGGGTGGTTGTAGTCGTCTGGATGGTAAGAACCAGTGACTAGAGACAGTTGGTGATATGGATGGCTCAGAATCCTCGTTCTCAGTGATGGCTGGTGGAGATGCATTCTTCACTGTTTGTGATGATTTGATCAGAGGGTTATATGGAGAAAATTAGGTGAATAGAAAACGAGACCTTGTAATCTGTTGTGGAACCAGCCTGAAAAAAAGGTAGCATAGGACAGAGTAAACTGGAGATGTACTGCTGAAATTATAAGTTCTACTCGGAATCCGTAGGAACAATAATAATAATAATAATAGTGTTGCGTTTGCACACAGACATTCGGGATAAAATTTTGATGTTGATCAGCCTATAAGGCGCACATATCACGTAGAATCTAATGGCATTAACCAGTTGTTGTTGAAGCCAAAGTAAATGGGACTGGGATTCGAACCTAGGGTTCGTTGGTGGTGTACAACCATAGCTCAGATCATTTTCTTTTAGCGCCCATTTTGTTTAGCGTTGCTTGTAGGTGATTCAATAGCATTTGAGCCTTCTTTTGAACTTCTCCACTTCAGTCTTTTTTATTTATGTATTCTTTATGAGAATGTTTTGTAGTACCATACGATTCCAGTTGTGGTATCCTTGGATGTCTGTCTGTACTTATTTATTTATTCCCTTCGATTCCGAGTGGAGTATAGGGCTTCAACAACATATCTCCACTGTGTTCTATTTTCTGCCGTCCTCTTCAGCTGGGTCTACCATTGATCATAATGTCTCATCCCCTCCTCTGACTCACACGATCTACTCCATGTCACCCTAGCACTGTAGACCTACTCGTCGCCTCCAATTGGGATTCCATTAGAACGATCGCCTGCATTGCGTGCGATGTCACTAAACGGCTTCCTCATCTTGTGCCCCTCCTCCACCTCCATTTTTCCCCTACATATTTGTTGAGCGATCGGCTCTTGGTTGGTTTGTCGCTAGAGCTTCTTGTTGCTAATTCATTTTGGTCAGCCGGCCATCTGATTTACAGTATGGGACCAGCCGGTGAAGTGGGCAGGTGTTGATAAAAGTCTGTAACTTGTTAGAAATTCTTTCCGTTCGTTGCATGCTAAGTTTCTGATCCGTAAAATCAGAAGTTTTGCACGCTTATCCTACTCTTCAATCCTGCGTAGAATGATGGAATCGTGTTCTAAACAAGACTCTTAGTACCGAGAATTACCTTTCATTTATCCACTAACCCGTATTTTCAATCTGCGCTGAAGTTTGATGCTCTATATGCCTTTGGTAGTAGTATTCTTTCTACTTACAAGTAGTATAGATATCCAAATGTAAATTTCACGCTTTCTGGTTGATTGACAATTAATCCCTCTATGCTGAAAATATGGTAATCCCCAATCATATTTTAGCTCTACCAATTTTTCATTTTTTCATTTTGTCTATTCAATTTGTACACTCTTCCTTATTACATCAATTGTTGTTATTACTATTCTCACTTTGAACTGTCCCCGGTATTATTTCCCTAGATCCACCTGTCATTCTAAATCAATCCTCTTTTTTACAATGTTAAATTCTATGCTATCCAATTTCACACAATATTAAGTAACGTTTTTATTTCATTCGATTTGTCTACTAATCCTATGATTAACAATCAAGCGATAAATATCAATAAACCCAAACTGCTATGATAATTCGATTACAAAGCATTTTAAGGCTGTAGTTCCCTAAGTTTTCTCAGTGTTTCAGTATTGGACAGTGGTCCAGTAGTATGGCACTCGGCGATCACGCCTCACGTGGTTCTCTGTCTAAACCCTGGCCGACTCACTTCTAAATCCCACTCAACCAATAATAAGCCCAGTAAAGATGGAAGGTTCGGCATGATGCCCTAGCTACCTCTTCCCGTAAAAAAACATCGCTGCTAATGAAACTCACTGAAGCTGAAACGTGAAGACTTATATTACACTAGGAACACCAGGGAATAAAATTATTATTATTTTCTTTAATTCCTAGAGGAATGTAGGGCGTCGGCCACACGTCTCCATTACGTTCGGTTCTCTGCTAAAGTTTTCACCTGTCTCCAGGTCTGCCCACATGCTTTTATCTCCTCTTCACATCACCTCCTCCAAGTCACCCTTGACGACCAACTCGCCGCTTCCCTTTCGGGTTCCACTTGAGCTATGACTTGGCTTGTGATGTCACTTGATTGTTTGTTTTCGCAGAGTATTGCCAATCCACCTCCATTTCTTCCTGCTTATTTATTTCATAATCGGTTCCTGGTTGGTTCGCTCCCAGAGATCCCTTTTGCTTATCTTTTCTGGCCGGCCATCTGATCTTGAGTAGTATTGAGCAAATACAGCTGTTGATGAAGGTCTGTAGTTTGTTTGAGATGCTCTTCATGACGCGCCAAGTCTCTGATCCGTGTAGTGAGTAGCACTGACTTCACATTGGAGTTGAAAATCCGGATCTTATTTTTCCTGCTGAGTGTTGTTGACTTCCACACAGACTTGAGAGAAATGAAAGCTTGTCTTGCTTTCCCGTTGATCCTCGCTTTGCTATCCTCATCAGTTACGTCCGTCTGTAGTTGAAACGACAATGGTTCCCAGGTAGATACGTAGGTGAAGGAGGTTGCTTCTCTCAGATTTCTCCCATTTATTTTGGCTGATGTTGTCTGTTGTTGATTGCTGTTGGCCTAATATAATATTACTCTCGATTGACTCAGCAACTTCCCATTATCTTTTACTTCGTCCTCGGATACCCATCCCGTGTCTTGCCACTTTCAAGCCTTGTGTGTGTGAGTTCAGGTGACAAATATAGTTACGTAATACTGATTTACAACAATATGGGTATGCGGACAAAACTGTTCTCAATTAGACCTCGGAGTATACCTCTGATATACTAGTAAATTTATGAATAAAAATCAAACGTACACCAATCATAGTGAATTGTCAGTGTGGTTTTAAACTAACAGTAAACTGCGTACTTAACCGTGATCATGATCGTATCATAATAATGAACCACAGAGACATATTTGATAACAAGAATAGTGGAAATGGATTAGTTATTCATTATATGTTCAAACAGACCTACCACTCAACAGGATCAAGTTGGCTACCGTTTATACATTTATGTGACTTTATCTAACGTTTCATAAAAAAGCCAGGGAGATTAGGATAGCTCAGCATAGTTTAAGCATTTAAATATTCAAACCTACTTTAGAAACCTCCTACGTTAACCAATACTATCGCGTAGATAATTGTTTCTCTAGTTTGAGAGCCGATTTTATGAGGAAATAACGCGATCAAACTCAGCTCAGAGAGCTGACTTAGTTCAAGCCACCTGTATTCTGGTTGTACATAAAATCTATTTGCGTAGCAACACACTATTTTTTGACGTGAATAGTTTCCACCTACTCATATAAAATCAGTAGTATGTACCGTTTTAAAGTAATTATTTACTAGAGAGATGACTGACAGTGATTTATATAAATTCTCATTTCTAATTTATCCTGTTTTCTCAAGTTAATAAAAATCAACTAGTTCAGTAAACTGTTTTAAGCCAATACATTCAGTCGTGTAAACGTCAGCGGTATAGCAACATATATCATTTTGGTATTATGTGTGTGGGTGCGTCGTAGATTAGCAATGATAGCGGCTGTTTCACTTTGTTATTCAAAGAGAAGCAAAGTAGTTAAGCATTTATCACGTGAGAAGTGTAAAGAAGACAGAGATAACAAATTGACTCAATCTAATTAGGCCTATATATAAAAGTGATATAATAAGATCAATACTTAGATTTCAGTTGGCAGAATGTATACAGATTGAATTGATCCTTTGAAGCACATGGTTTAAACCATCCAGTCAGCCATGTAGGGAGCTGTAGACTGCCAGTCTGGCTGGTGATTGGTGTCCTCCAGTGAAGACTTGAGGCGATTGGTGCTGATATGTCTGCCTGAAAATCCTTGTTCTCAGTAATGGCTGGCGCAGATGCATTCTTCATTATCTCCTTTATTAAATGTCTCGTTACTCATTTCTCTTGCTTTGTGTGCTACAAGGAGGTAGTGTGGGCAGTTGAACTGGTGCAAACCTGTGCAAAGTTGTTTGTTGATCTATATTCTGAATGTATTCATTATCTTTCTGCTATACACACGAGTGTGTATCATAGTTTCTTTGCATTTTTTAAAGTGTAGCAGCAGTTAAATCACTTTCCATAAGTTTTAATTGTATATAAATCGTATTTAAGAACGTGACGGTTATTCATTTTCAATTATGATATGACACAAGCTATCACCTTCTTCATCGACTAATGTTAACTAGGAAAGAGCTAAAGATGGTCAAATCATAAAGTAGCATCAAACTATGAGACCTTGACTGTTAATTTGAATCAGATAGAAAAGTGTAGGCTGGGTTGGCTGTCTATGGTCATCATTGGGACATGATGAAGCAAATGCCAAGAGACTGAAAGTTATTTGGCTTAAAAACTGTTCTTAATAACTCTTTGTAATCTTTTTTGTTCATTAAAGCATAATTATTTTCTTTTGTAATTATTCTTTCTCTGGTATATTTTCGTTTATTATAGTTTGTTTGCATTATTTTCTTAACACCCTACCTTTTTATACACTCTTCTGAAGTATAGTAGCCTGAGAGAGAATGAGGAACATAGGGCTTTGGCCACACGTCTCCATTGCATTCCCTTCTCCACCAACCTCTTCACTTGACTCTACGTCTGTCCATATGCTTTAATCACCTCTTCACATCGCCTCCTCCATGTCACCCTCGCACTGACGACCGACTCACCGCTTCCTATTCGGGTTTTATTCGAGCGATAGTTTGGCGTGTGATGTCACTTGGTGGTTTGTTTTCTCAAAGTATGGCCAATCCACCTCCATTTCATTCTGCACGTTCCTAGAGATCTTTCATTATTGCTGATCTTTTCTGGCCGGCCATCTGATCTTAAGTAGTATTCAGTGAAGACAGTTGTTGATGAAGGTGTGTAAATTGTTCGAAGTGGCCTTTGTGACGCTGTACGGAGCCAAGTCTCTGATCCGTATGGTAGCACTAACTTCACATTGGGGTTGGAAATCCATATCTTGCTTGCCATGCTGAGTGTTGTTGACCTCCACACCGACTTGAGAGTAATGAAGGCTCATCTTGCTTTTCCGATGATTCTCGCCTTGATATCCTCATCAGTACTGTCCGCCTGTAGTTGAAATGATGTTCTCCTCCAGATTTCTCCCATTTATGCTGATTTTTATATGATGTTGTTGCTGTTGCGGTTCTCCAAGAATCGTCATCATCTCTGTTTTCTGTATGTTCACTGGAAGGAAGTCCTATCTTTCATGCCGCTTCTGCCAACTTGTTGCTTTTCACTTGCATATCTTCCACTTTGTGGGAAATCAGGCTTATGTATGTCATCGGCGAAGTCCAGATCCTCCAAGTTTTTTGTGTGGGTCCATCTTATACCTGTTTCCTCGCTCCCCGCCGCTGTCTGTCGCATTATCCAATCTACTGCAATCAGGAAAATCATTGGAGATAGTAGTCAGTCAGGCAACCTTGTCTTACTCCTGTCTTCACTTCGAAGGACTCTTTGAGTTTCCCGTTATGTGTTACTTGGCGGCATGCAGCATTATCGTACAACTGTTGGATGAGATGTATAATTCTTGGTGGCACCCCTGAGTAGTAGTGAAGTAGTTTCTAAATCGCCTCCTGATCGACGCTGTCAAAGATAAGGTTACTGAAGAATGATTGAACCAGAATTTAGTAGGATCCTCTGGAAATTTGCGTCGTACTTCATTGCCGTTTAGACTAATTAACAGGTTTGAATGAACAGTTTTTGTGCGCTTCTCCGTATACATATGTGTATATGTATTTCTTCTCTTCTTTTCAGCTGAAAAACCGTCTACAAAATTATCACTCAAAGGTATTCGACACTTTTCTATGAGCAGTTCAATTCAACCAAATTTTGCTGTATATATACCTGGAGATAAGGTAAGTAGTATTGATTTTATTTTAATCAGCTTTATTATTGATGCATACAGATTTCCAGAATCATATATTTTGGTTGATTTGTGGCGTGTGCTACGATTCCTTGTGAGCTCTCATCTCATCTGCTCTTCACACGATCTCCGTCACGTCACACAAGGACGTCCAACTAGAGGTTTCCTATTCGCATTCGACTCGACACATGCTATGTCTAGCACGTGATGTCACGTAACCTTCTCCTCAGCGTCTGAAAATTGCTGTAGACTGAAGATCTAAGTATCCTTGGCTCAACCTGAGATTGTGACAAGCGTCTGAATATTAAAAAAAAATATGGTTCATCAGCCTAACCATTCGATTTTCAGCCTTATGGGTCCCAGGTTCGAGTCTCGCAACTGGATAATATTTTTTTACTAGCTCTCACACAATAAGTGTATGACTCGTCACCCAGGTAACAGAATTCTAAGAGGAATTCGTGGTTGATAGATCAGTTGCGTAAACCCGTGAGCAAAAAACTTTATATTCTATACTGTCAGCAGAAGAAGAACTAGAAAAGATTGTTTTTTGTGTGGCGTATACTACTGGTAAGATTTATCAATAGTAGTATATAAAGAGACGTTCGTCGACATAGAAGTAGCAAGGAGACAGATTTGATGTCAGAGAAAGAAAATGATTCAGCGTCGCGAAGATACATAGAAGACTTGAAAGGAACACAAAGAAACATACAAAGTATGAAGGAAGGGCGGAAGTAGCACAACACGGAACATCTGTGTAAATGTTTTGCAGATAAGGTCTATATAATTTCACTTTATAGCTATGTAAAATTCCAAATAAGCATTCCGTTATCAATTCTGTCGTCGTCTACCGTTTCAAGGGATAAAAGGCTTCAAGTCTGCCTTAATCCTTTTCGTATAAGTATCTGTGCTTGCCTAATCCTTTTTTTTTAAAGAGTCCATTGCCGGTGGAGGCATCGCTTCTCCTGGGATTAAGTTCTAAGAGGTAATGATTCGGTGGAAAAAAAACCAAATACTCCACAGCAATCTGGTATCTGGTTTCTTCCCTTCTTTTCGCGTCTGAATTCTTTTGCCATGCCCTTCTGAGATGCGTTAACCTTCTGAAAAAGAAAGCAGAAGATTTATCGGATTCATAGTTATTTCTTTAAGATTTGAATATGACACGGAGAAGTGTTCTGATCTGTTGAATTATTCTTCGTGTGATAAGGATCTAAATCTTTGAGCTGCTTGATTGGTTGAGTTTCAAATTAGAACTTTATGCAGTAGTACAGCACACTCGATGTAGTACACAAAGGTAAATTTAGAAACACAAGTATATGGAAAGTCAACGCACACACACAGATCAAATACACAACTATACTAGCAACGATCCAATTACTCACAAAAGAAACTGTGTGCAGACATTGTTTAGAAGAATTCAAGCACATTGTAGCACACCAGAATTGAAAGGAATGGACAAAAAATACTTACAAACGGTCTTCAAGAAGAATGTTTATCCAAAAAATTTCATCAAAAAGTGTTTAAAGTCGAATCAAAGAACTATCACCAAAGACCAAAAAGAAATTCATCCTACCATACATCTGAAATAACGGCTAGAATAATGAAACCGTTTGATATAGGTGTAGCACACGAACCAGCTGAATCGCTTAATTCGATCTTATGCAAACCAAAAGATCCGATAGAAAAGGGAGATAAAATTAACACCATTTACAAAATAAATTTTATGAATTGTAACAAACATTACATCGGCCAAAGTGGGCGTCCCTTCGAATAAGAATCCAGGAACACAAATCACCTGTGAAAAGACATGATATAAATTCTTTAGTATCAATGCATACAGACGATTATGGACATCAATTTGATTGGGATAATGTCAAAATCTTAAACAGAGGAAACACCAAATGTGCAACTAGGGAATTCCTAGAAGCCTGGTACTCAAATGAAAACGCTATTAATAAACACGTTAATATAGATGAAATATACCGACTAATAAAAAGTAAATCAGGTGATCAGAAAGTTTAAAATCCCAATCAATAGAAAACGGTCAATAAATATCTAAAGATGGTTACCGGGAGACTCATGAAGAAATTTAAATCATTTCACTTTATCCTAAATACTGCGCTGAAGATGTCGTCCAGAAAGACGATGAAAGCTCCGCAATTAAACCAAGGAGCTCAGAGAACACTATCAATTGCAAATCATCCACCTGACTTGCAAATCTTTTATATTATCATCTGATATTAATGAGCCAAATGGGTGATACCTTAACATGTGTATTGTGTGTCCTATGCACTTCTATGAAATGTAAAGTGACGCTACAGCACTCTGGACTATATCGACTTTTAGCTTCAAACTAGGGAAAAAAATTATAGGGTGTTTTGGAAAGTTAGTTGCATCAATATATGTGTGTAAAACTTGAGCACTGTGGTAGTAATTCCATATTAATTTGTTTATTAGGTGTATCACACAGTCAGTGGAACAATATCGCATACTGGATGACACAGTTTCGAACACAATTCACTTATTGTTAATAATCATATCATCAATTATAATCACATGACTTCAAAACTTGAGTTTTATAGTTTTCTTTCTCTTCTCCTATTCGTCGTCGTAGGCGTGGTAGTAGAATTTTCCAGATATCTGGCTGGACAGGTGTTGAGACATTCATATTACACATATTCCCTCTCAGTTGATTCGGTAAACAAAGATTCTGTTATCGATCTCTCCCTCCCTGCACCTTGTGACACTAGATTTAAAATTGTCATCGTATCCCATCCATCTTATTGTATGGTTGTGTGTAACTGCCTGTAGTGCTGTCTACGGCCGAACTATTCTCTAGATTTCTCATGTTATTCGGGTCAACTAATCTAGATTTTGCTGTTAGGTTTTTATGCTCGGCTAGTCTGACTGACTGTACCTGTTCTACTAGTTTGACCTATGTATTTGACCCCGCTGACAATCATTGCAGACAGGGTATAAGATAAACTAAATTATATTGAATATTCTCATAGTTAAATTTAGAACAACACATTTAAACCAACAATACTGTTTTCGATTAGATCTCATCAGGCTTAACTCTAATATATGACATTCATTATTTTGCCACTTGACACTTAACTATGATTATAATCACATATGTTTTAATTACATTTCATACTATTATTTATATCATGTATTCACACCTTTGACCTAATTCCCACACAGGATATTGTGATCTTGATGCTATAATGGGAATTGGATGCCACTTTTATTCCTGCCTTGATAAAAATTCGGGCAATCAAACCAACTACAAACTCAATTAGAAACAAGCTTCATCGTTTAAAGTGTCGATCCTGTGGAGCCAATAAAACAAAACAATTTAGTTTATCTTATACCCTGTCTGCAATGATTGTCAGCGGGGTCAAATACATAGGTCAAACTAGTAGAACAGGTACAGTCAGTCAGACTAGCCGAGCATAAAAACCTAACAGCAAAATCTAGATTAGTTGACCCGAATAACATGAGAAATCTAGAGAATAGTTCGGCCGTAGACAGCACTACAGGCAGTTACACACAACCATACAATAAGATGGATGGGATAGGATGACAATTTTAAATCTAGTGTCACAAGGAGAAGGATGTCGGTGGCACCTATGGAGTTCCGTGCCAGCGAACCGACAACGGTGACCGTCTCCTACAGTTCTGCTCTGATAATCATTTGTTTCTTGTAAGCACTAACTTCAAACACAAGGAGAGACACTGTTTGACTTGGAGACCCCCTTCATCAAACCAACGCTGGACACAAATAGACCACATAGCAATAAGCTATCGTTGGCGTGGGTCGGTAGGAGATTGTCGCTCCTTCTGGAACACGTGCGTAGATACCGACCATGCACTGGTCCGCGCTCGGGTGTGCTTACGACTGAACGGACGTAGGAAACAGCTGGCGGTAAAACCATCACGTCCCCAGCTCGATCAGGAAACTAAATCCGTATTTCAGGAAGAACTAGCTAAACACATATCTGTGTTCGACAGCTGTGCTCACCCTGAAGAAGCTTGGAAAAATATCCAGGCAGCCATAGATACAGCTGTAAAAGCTGTGAATAAGGTAAACCCAAAGGTGAGTAAAAACCACTGGATCTCCACCGCCTCATCCGAACTGATAGATGCTAGAAGACTTATTCCGGCGAGCTCCGAATTCAATGAGGAGCGAAAGCTGCACAAGAGGAAACTTACGAAAAGTCTCCGCAAGGACCGTGAACAGTGGTGGGCGACAAAAGCCAAAGAGATGGAGAAAGCTTTGAGGATAGGCAACACCAGGCAACTCTTTGGACTCATCAGGGAAACGGGTGGGAGAAGACAAATCATTAGTGAGACAATCTCGGAAAAAAATGGCACTATAATTAGCTCACAGGATAGACGACTGGATCGTTGGAAAGAGCATTATGAGGAGCAGTTTAATTTGCCCACAGCCACGCTCAACCTTCCGAGCATCCAACACCTCCCTGAATGGGATATAGATACAGGTCCTCCGTCACTAACTGAGGTTACTAAAGCTGTCACCAATCTGAAACTAGGCAAAGCAGCGGGACCTGATGGAATGACGCCAGAGGTATTTAAGTACGGTGGAGACAGCTTACTGTCCGGATTAACTGAGGTACTAGGCAGCGTTTGGGAATCAGAAGAAGTCCCATCGGGTTGGTGTAAGTCACTGATTATCCCCATATACAAGAAGGGAGACAAGTCTTCCTGTGATAATCACAGAGGGATTAGCTTGACTAATATAGTATCTAAAGTCTTAGGCTCAATAATCATGCGTAGACTGAGTGGTGCTCGGGAAGCACAAACACGAGAGAGCCAGGCAGGCTTTAGACCAGGAAGAGGGTGTATTGATCATATCTTCACCCTCCGACAGATTCTAGAACATAGGCATTCCTACCGGCGTCCAACAGTCATTATATTTCTTGACCTAAAGGCAGCATTCGACTCTGTCGATCGGGAAGTTCTCTGGAGATG